GACACACCGTGGATTCCATGTTGTTTGGATTATCCATGATTTCCGTTTTGTTTAATTGCCCATATCATACCACAACCACACTGCAGACACACGCACACATTTAAACACTAATACGCAAATACATATACACACTGATACATGCACATGCATTTACACACACACACACACACACACACAAACACACTGATGCACACATATTGACTAATACAGACATACAGTCACAATGTGTTTATCTGGCTGTGTGTATTTCTGAATGTGTCTGGCATTGTCTGTCTGTGTATGTGCCTGAGAGTGCGTCTGACAGTGAGTACCCTTGTATGTGAATGTATGTTTCTGTGAGCATGTGTATGTTTGTGTCTAGGACCGTATGTGTGTGTGGTAGCTGCTTGCGGTATTTTTTGTATATGGACTGTGGCCTTTGTGCATTTTGTCTGTGGTGACAGTGTGTGTGTGGGGAATGATGACAGGGTGTGTGGAGGGAGGTGACAGGGTGTCGAAAGGGGAGACTGTGTGTGTGAGTGGAGGGGATGACAGAGTGTGAAATGACGTGAAAGAGAGTGGAGGGGCTGACAGAGTGTGGAGAGGTGTGACAGAGTGTGGAAGGGGGTGACAGATTGTGGAAGGGATTAACAGAGTGTGAAAGGGGGTGACAGGTCGCTGAGGGAGGGATGGGGTGACAGAGTTAGGGGGTGGCAGAGTGAAGGGTGGGCAGGTGGCTGAGGGAGGGGTTGACAGGTGGCAGTGTCAGAGAGGGAGAGGGTGACAGGGGTCAGAGTGAGGGTAGGAGGGGGTGACAGGGGGCTTTGCGATGGGGTGACAGAGTGAGGGAAGATAGGGGTGACAGGGGACAGAGTAAGGGAAGGTGGGGGTGACAGGGGACAGAGTGAGGGAAGGAGGTGGTGACAGGTGTCAGAATTAGGGTAAAGGGGGTGACAGGTGGCAGAGTGAGGGCCACAGTGAGGGGGTGACAGTTGTCAGTGAGGGAGGGGCTCACAGGGGGCAGAGTGAGGGGGTGACAGAGGGCAGAGTCAGGAAGGGAGGGGGTGACAGCAGGCTTAGTGAGAGGATGACAGTGGGCTTGGTGAGGGGGCGACAGGGGACTTGGTGAGGGGGCGACAGGGGCTTGGTGAGGGGGCGACAGGCCAAGTGGAGGGGGTGACAGGCCTGGTGAGAGGCGACAGGAACTTAGTGATTGCGACAGGGCTTGGGCAGAAAGCATTGTGGGCCTAGGTAGGGGGGGGTGACAGGGGCCTTAGGTAGGGCGGGGGAGCAGGGGACCTAGGAGCGACAGAGGACCTAGGCAGAGTGGGTGACAGGGGCCGAGTGACAGTGACCTAGGGTGAGAGAATCAGGCGAGGAGAGGGACCTAGTGACAGGGACTGAGTGACAGGGGACCGGGGGTGAGGAGGGCCCCAGTGAGGGGACTTAGTGACAGGGGACTCTAGGGGTGACAGGGACTTGGTGAGAGGGACTCTGGTGAGGGACTGGCGGACCCAGGCGCATTGGTGTGACCCAGAGGCGACAGGGACCTTGAGGGGTGACAGGGGCTGAAGTAGGGGGGTGACAGGGGCTTATTTAGGGGTGACAGGGGGCTTAGGTAGAGGGTGACAGGGGACTTAGGAAGAGGGTGACAGGGGACTTAGTGATGGGTGACAGGGGTGGGACTTAGGGGTGACAGGGGACTTAGTGATGGGTAACAGGGGACTTTGGGGTGACAGGGGACTTGGTGAGGGGTGACAGGGGGCTTGGTGAGGGGTGACAGGGGCTTAGTGATGGGTGACAGGGGACTTAGTGATGGGGTGACAGGGACTTGGGTGAGGGGTGACAGGGGACTCTGGTGAGGGGTGCATTGGGGCAAGCAGGGGGTGACAGGGGTTAGTTAGGGGTGACAGGGGCTTAGGGGCTTAGGTAGAGGGTGACAGGGGACTTAGGGGTGACAGGGGGCTTAGGTAGAGGGTGACAGGGGACTTAGGGGTGACAGGGGACTTAGTTAGGGGGTGACAGGGGACTTAGGGGGTGACAGGGGACTTAGTTAGGGGGTGACAGGGGACTTAGACTTAGGAAGAGGGTGACAGGGGACTTAGGGGTGACAGTCTTTATGGACTAAGGCACATTTCAATGACAGATTGGCAATGCATACATTTTAGCCTTCACCATCAATTTATTATAAATTAGTTTTTTTGTGTGGTTTTATTGGAGCGGTAACCATACTTCTAGCTATAACTACAGGTACAATTATAATTATTCATATTTAGGCAA